TTAATCTTCCCAAAGGCCCTGAATGTAGGTGGAAGTGAGTCTCCTCATTGACTGGAGGAGAAACTGAGGTCGGGAAGAAGCCGGAACTTGGTCAGGATCACACAGCAGTGAGGCAGTGGAGAAGGCTGCACATGCAGTTTGCTATCTCTGAGTGCTGAGTTTCCAGGGCTGGGCTTGGGTGCCAGGGGAGGGTGGGCAGGTGGTTGGTGAAATCAGGAGCTAGTCCCACAGCAGCTGGCCCAGCCTTGGGTGGGGTCCTGGAGTAGAGGCAACAGAGTTCAAATCCCAGCTAGGCCACTTAACTGAATGACACAGGGCAGGTGAGTTCTCTCTGAGCCTTGATTTCCTCATCTGTAAAATGGAGATATTATGGCTTCTCTTATAGAGTCTTAGGGGATTGCAGTGCAAACCTGTGTGTACAAGGCTGAGCACAGAATAGGTACTCAATGTCTGTCAGTCCCTCTCCAGCCCAACTGCTTGGGCTCTGGAGTTGAGCTTCCCTCCTTCCTTCGGGATCAGGGACTGATGTTTCCAGCCAAAAGTTGGGAGTCAGGCTCGGAGGTTGACTTGCTCTGTGTCCCTGGGCAAGTCCTCTGTCCTCTCTGAGCCTCAGTATTCTCATCTGGAAAATGGGGGCAGAGTCATTCCCCATGCTGCACCACTGACAGGGTTGTTGGAAAGATGAAATGGTGAAGGGTGAGTGTGGTTTTTAAACATGGGTGGTTTTTACAAAAGTAGAAGTAGCTTCTGGCATCTGCTGCTGCTTCTTGCACACACTTAGTTTTCTGCTGTGGGAAGGAGAGGAGACTGCAGAGGCGATGGGAGATGGGTGCACCTTCCTGGTCCACAGAATCACTGACATGGGAGTGGGATGGAAGGAGGCTGGGAGATGCTGGGCAGACCATGGAGGGGTGAGGGGAATGGGATGTGGGCCCATTGGCCTGGGTTTGAATCCTGGCTCTACAGAGGACCGGCTGGGAGCCCTCGGGCAAGCTGCTCCAGCTCTTGGAGCCTCACTCTCCTCATCTGTGAAATGCAGTGGGGGAGTAAGAAGAGTCCCTTCACTGGATGGTGGAAGGATCACCAAGATGGTGTGGGTAAACACCAGGCCTGGAGGCAGGCTGTGCACATGCCTCATCCCTTCCCTTCTCAGGGCTACCTGCCATTTGGAAGGGGTGGTTGAAGAGGGCCACTTGGATGCTAGGGATGGGATTGCAGTCAAGGTAGCAGGCCTGTGAGAGATGTTCAGACCAGGATTGAGGGGTTGGGAGTTTTGTGGGCTAACAGTGGTCTCCTAAGTGGGGTGATGCCTAAAGTGATGACTGGGGCTGTTGGAAGGCAATACTGTTGTGTAGTGGTGTGCCAATGAGTTGACTATGACTCATAGCAACCCTTTAGGCAATGTTGGAGTAAGCAAGTAAACATGAGCTTACTTACTAATCTATAGTGAACAATTTCACATTTTTTTTGACCACATCGAAGATTTTGTATGACTGGCATCTGTCTCTCTCCCAATTCCACGGCACCTTCCTGCAGAATCAAAGCCTCTTTTCAAATTTACAGTCCCTGACAGGGATGGAGTATGTGGTAAGCAAGGTAAGCACAGACTTACTTGTGCTTATTACTAACATGTAGTGAACACTTTTACACCTTCATAGTGAAATAGAGGTGAAACCCCTGTGAAACTGTTCACTACAGATTAGGAAGTAAGCACAAGTAAGCATATGCTTACCCTCCTTATTGAGTAATCTGCTCCATGCAGTGTCCTAGGCTACAGTCTTCATGGGAGCAGATCACCAGGTATTCTCTCCCAGGGAGCAGGTGCTTTCTAACCACCGACATTTTGATTAGCAGCCCAGTGCTTTAATCATTGTGTGATCAGGGTTCCTTAGTACAATACTAGAATTTTTAAATTGTTCTAAATCATATACTTTAGTAATTTCTGGATTTTTTCCCATGTGTGTTTTATGATGCTCATGATAATAAACCAAGACAACAGAATGGGTATATAATTCAGAAGTAAAAACACATACAGGGGTGTGTTCAAAAGGTTTTACTGACATAGGTGCTTTTTCAAAATATCTGAGCCCTCTGCAGTCAGGGCTAGCAGGAGCTCTGAGGTGTTTTGGGGCTAAGGGGAGTAGGAAAGAACCAGGACAGCCTGGGAGACCTCGACTCCACTCTGTACCCAACTTGCTGTGTTCTCCGGTAAGGCACCTAACCTCCGTGAGGTTATACAACAAGCTCATGCAGTGGAGGTGGGGATTGTCTGACTTTGAGCTTCGGTGGAGATCTCATACTCTCTTGGATCCTTGGGACTTCAAATATCTTTTCATGCCACACCTGGCAGATGCTCATATGCCCTTTCTAAGCTCAGCTGTAACTCACGTGTGCTTTCCTCAACCGCCCCTCACTCCAGTGGTAGGGGCTAACCATCCCACGGAATACCCTGTTTTCCCTCGGACTGAGCTGTTGTCTGCTTTCCTTTTCTCATTAAAAGTGAAACTAGGAGCAGAGGTGCTGGGCTTCCGCCTTTAAGACGCAAAGAAGCAGCTTTTCTCTCGCAAGGCTGCTTCCTGTGGTACCAGCCACAGCCCAAACCACACTGCCTTCTGCCCTGGGCTGCTCTCTTCCTTCCAGTTGAAGCAAAGCCTTTTGGGGTTCATCTCACACCAGGTTGGGGGGTGGCATATTGCCTGTCAATCCCTGGTACCCTGCCACTGGTACAGCTTGACTATCCCACGTAGATTCTGTCTGCTGAGCACCCACTCTGCCAGCCAGGAGCTCAGGGCTTAGCAAATGTGATGCAATGCACTCCTCACTACATCTGGTGATTGCTATCTTCCAGATGAGAAAACTAAGGCTCAGAGAGGTGATGTGACTCGGCCAAGGTCCCATCGTGAATATGGAGCTCTATTTAGGTTCAAGTTCATCTCTGTTTCACTCCAGAGCTTGGTTCTTCATTGCTTTCCCATGCTGTCCCTTCTCCCCTTGAGCAGAAGGTAACAGGACAGGGAGACAAGTTGAGACCTGTATCTGAGCTCAAAAACCACACAGGCAACAAAGGGGAAACAGATGGCAGGCAGCTGGTCCCCTGTCAGCTGAGCTTCAGCTACCAGGACAGGGCTACCTGGAAAACCAATATAAACTTAGGTTATGTTAATAGAGGTAGGGTGCCCACTGCCAGGGAGGGCATAGTCTTATTCTAAATGTGGATAGATGGTGCCAGGAGTAGTAGATGTAGTGGGAGAAGGATGGAGGTCATGGTGGATACACAGGAGGTTGTGAGTTCCCCATGGCTGGAAGTACTTAAGCAGAAGTTGGTTGGCACTTATGAGGTTACTGACAGGAATACCTGCATTGAATGGTAGAGGAAATGGACAAGGTGACACCCAAGGCCATTTTCAAATTGTGGTTTTCCAAGGCTGGATTTCCAGTATTACTTGGGCTACCCATGACACTCAGACCCATTAGTTTTGCCCCTTCTCCTTCATTCTTAGCAGGGGTCCTCTGAGAAGATGTCATTAATTCATTCATGCACTCATTCAACAAGCACAACAGATTGAACAACAAATAAGACAGACACTAGCCCTGCCCACCAGGAGCCTACAGTCCAGTAGGGAAGTAATAGTAATAATAATAGCTAGTAGGTTACCAGAAAACACCAAACTCACTACCTTCGAGTGGGATCTGACTCATAGCAACCCCTCCTTGGGTTTCTGAGGCAGCATCTTTACTGAAGTAGATTGCCCAACCTTCCTTCCGAGGAGTGACTGGTGGGTTTGAACCGCCAGTATTCTGGTTAGCAGTCAAATGCCTTAGGCACTATACCACCAGAGCTCCTCCCAGCTAGTAGGATAAGTACTTATGATCTGCTGGGTACTTTAAGGGAATTTTCCCATCTGGCTCCCCTACAATCCCATGAGGCAGGCATTATTATTAACCTTGTTGTGAAGATGAAGAAATTGAGGGGTAATGGGAGATGGGGTTGATAAGCACCCTGGGGGCTCAGGGAGCAGATGCTCTCCAGAACTTTCCCAGATCCATATCCCCAAAGCCGGGGTTTCCGTCCCATATTTGGTGATTTCAAGAACTTGAAGCTCTATGATGCTTGGCTGCAGTGACCTCAGCTCCCATGATGCTCAGAGCCTGTCACTACAGAAGAGGGCTCAGAGGAAGATCCCACTCACTGGCAAGAGCCTTTAGCTCCTCCCCTTTCCTACCACCTCCCCAAGCTTGACCTTCAGTGGTGAGAAACCCTGTTGCTGTCTAGTTGATGCTGACTCATAGAGACCCTATGGGACAGAGTGGAACTGCCTCCTACGGGTTCTAAGGCTGGAATCTTTACAGAAGCAGATGGCTATGTCTTTCTCTAGTGGAGTGGCTCATGGGTTCGAACCACCAACCTTTCAGTTAGCAGCCAAATGCTGAACCACTGTGCCACCCGGGCTCCTCAGTAGTAATAGTTACTGCTTATGAGAACCTGGAAAGTTTTAAATGCTTTCTTGGATATTCTCATTTAATTCTCACAATAGTTTTCTAGGGCAGCTACGAGTCTTATTCCCATTTTATAGATGGGAAAGAGAAGTCCTGGTGTGCAGTGGTTAATAGGCTTTGAACACACCAGCTACTCTGTGGGAAAGAGATGAGGAGGCAGTTTGCTTCTGTAAAGATTTCTGTAAAGCCTTGGAAACGCTATGGAGCAGTGGTACTCTGTCCTATAGGGTCTCCATGAGTTGGAATTGACTCGATAGCTATGGGTTTTACAGATAGGGAAACTGTGGCCTAGAGGGGTCAAGTAACTTGCTCAAGGTCGTATAGCTGGGGAGATGAAGAACCAGGATTATGAGCTTGAGGTGCTATCTATCAAGGTCACACCAACCTGGCAGTCCATCTCCCTAAGACCTCTCCCCACATGTCACTGACAGCATGCCATCAGGGTGGGAGGGGTGGTGTGGAATGGCTCAGGCCCCAAATGACCAATTCTGTTCTGCCCCCAGATCATGAGCATCTTGTTGTTCATTGAGCACTCAGTGGAAGTGGCTCACGGCAAGGCCTCCTGCAAGTTCTCGAAGATGGGCTACCTCAGGATTGGTAGGTCCAGGGGAGGCTGGTGGAGGCGGGTGGGGGAACAGGCAGGGAGGAAAGTCCTGGCCTGGGCCAGACAGTAGCATTTGGAGGCTCTGCTACCTCTTGGCTGGATGACCTCAGGCAAGTGCCTTCCCCTTTTTAAGTCTGAAGTTTTCCATTAGCAAAATGGGGATATTCCACCTGTCCACACCCAAGTCTCAAGGTCATGAGAGCAGATGGGATGGCACTTGGCAATCCCAACAAGCTATTAAGGGTGACAATGGGATTCCCCTGCTTAAACCCATCAATGAGTGCTCATCACACTCATATAAATTCAACATTCCTCACAGAGCCATCTCCCTGCATGCTTCCCTCACTCGCCATCATCTAGCCACATTGAACACACCAAGTGTGTCCCTGTCTCAGGCCCCTTCTGCCCATGCTTCATAGACAACTCTGTCATTTAGCTAACAGGACACCTTCTCAAGAGAGGCCTTCCCTGACCCCAGTGTGTCCTCCCATTCTGGAATCTTCTGTTCCATCACCCACATTAATTTCTTTATAATACAGTAAACTGAAATGTTCTTTTTATTGTCTTTGTACCCCTCAAGACTGAGAATTCAGTGAGGCAGGACCTGGGCTCTTGTTCACTATTGTATTCCTATACAACACTCCTCAAAGTGTGGTCCTTGGAGCCCACAGGGGTGCCCAGAGGCTCCTGTGGGTCCCTCACTGTTCTCTCTTGTCTTTTAGCTGACCTGCTCTCCAGCTATCTGCTCATCACCATGCTTTTTGTCATCAGCCTGAGCCTGCTGATCGGTGTGGTTAAGGTGAGGGTCTGGGTGGGAGGAAGAGGAGGTGAAGCTAGGAGCTAGGGGAGGAGGAGCCCTAGCTGTGCTGTGGGTGGGCAGCACTGACTGTTGGGAAGGTGGGAGGTGGGCCTTCTGGGAAGCCCACCTGCACACTGAGACCCTTGCACTTGCCTTGGAGGGAACCATTTCCACATGGACACTGCCTCCTTGGGCTGGGGCCTTGGCTCTCTGCAGAAGTACAGGGCTCTGTGGAGGGCCTGCCCAGTGGCTGTTGTGTCACTGACACAAGAACTAGTTGATGACTCACATCCTTTGAAACTGCAAATGTGGCAGAGAATTCTGGTAGAGCAAAAAGAGGATCATTTTGAGGCGTGGGAAAGGGTAGAAAGCACTGGAATTTGTAACGGGCGAGAGGATGCCCTAGCAGGCCCCATGTAGACATGTCTGGTTTGATTCCATCCAGTGAGTGTGTGTTACACCCAGAGTGAGACCCACACTCTGGAAAGTTCTCAGAGAGCTCATGGCCCGACCAGGGAAGTCAGACTCTCAGAGAGACAGGGACGGTCCAATGCTCCTTGGCCTGGGGAAGCTGGTGAGACAGTTGAGACAGACTGTGGCTCAATATCCTGCAAAAGAGGATCTGCCTGCCCCTCGGCCCCTAGAGAAGCAGAAAGCTGTAGGAGCATGACTCAGAAGGAGGGTCCTTCCTGTGTAGACAAGTGACCTGGCTCTGGCAGGTTGTGCAGATGGGGCACTGATACATCACTTCCCAGCTCACCTCCTGGGTACTTGTGCAATTGCACAAACAATCTGGCTAGAAAAATGAGTCAGGCTGGGTTGCTTCAGCAGCCTCTTGAGTGGTTTAGACAAACCACACAAGGCATTAGGAAACCATCCTTTCTGTGAATTTGTCCCCAGTGATAGGAACATATGCATTCACACTGGGTCACGGTGAGCACTTGCTTTAGTTGAAGGAGAGGGACTTCAGCCTCGGCTGCCAGGGCCTCTAAGCACACTGAACACCCCAGGGAGTGGTTGGTACTGAAGAAGATCCAATCACCTAGGCAGTGAAGCTCTCCCCCACTCTGGGCCTTTGCTGTCCCCTTTCCCCCTTCTTGCTTAAACACCTTTCCAGATCCTGGCCTGGTGTCTCCACCTCCAGGAAGACTGGTTCCTTCTCATCTGTGAAATGGACACAAAATCCCTTCATCATTGAGTTCTAGTGAACAAACCAAGTCAAGCCTCACTCCTCGAGTCTTTGAAGCATGCATTCCTGTAGATGGGGCTGGTTCCCTTACACGACTGCCTCCTGCAACACCAAGATTCCTTATACCCAGGGCTTGGATCTTGGCCTCTCCCTGCTCCCAGAGTGTCAGTGAGAGGAAGGCATGTGGACCCATGTAGGATGACCTAAGCTGAGCTGGGTGAGGGAGGGGTGATTGGGGGAAAGGCCCATGTCATCTGGAGGTGGGGAGAGAGCTGGTGAGGGACACATGGGGAACTCTGATAGTGTGCAAGGGACACCCCAACAGCCCTGGACCTGCCTTTCAGAACCGGGAGAAGTATCTCCTGCCCTTCCTGTCCCTGCAAGTCATGGACTTCCTCCTGTGCCTGCTCACTCTTCTGGGCTCCTACATCGAGCTGCCCGCCTACCTGAAGTTTGCCTCGCGGAGCCGGTCTGTGAGTATCCAGCTCTCTCTTGGGCAGCAGAGACCAGGCCCCCTGCCTGGGAAGGTGATAGGGGACATGTACAGGCTTTGGGCTCAGGACACTGAGGTTAGGAGCCCTATTGACCCCTTCCTTGCGGATGACCTTAAGCAAGCCCCTGAACCACTCCCAATCTCCCCAGGTTTCTTCATCTGTAAACGGTATCTGTGATCACATCTCCTCCATGTGTCCTTGTGAAAAATAGATGAGGAAAATATATAGTGAGGACTTAGCACATGGTAACACTTGTCGCTGTCAAGTCGAGTCTGACTCATAGCGACCCAGAGCAGAACTGCCCCATAGTGTTTCCAAGACTGTACTCTTGCTACATGTTCCTCCTGCAGAGCAGCTTGTGAGCTCAGTTGGTTAGCAGCTGACTACTCACCCACTGCACAACCAGACAGTGATGCAATGGTTAAGCACTGGGCTATTAACTGAAAGCTTGGTGGTTTGAACCCACCCAGATGGTCCACAGGAGAAAGAGCTGGCAATCCGCTTTTGTAAAGATTGTTGTCATTGTTATGTGCCGTCGAGTCGGCCCCAACTCATAGCGACCCCTCCTTGGGTTTCCGAGGCAGTATCACTATGGAAGTAGATTGCCCAACCTTCCTTCCAAGGAGTGGCTGGTGGGTTTGAACCGCCAGCCTTTTGGTTAGCAGTCAAGTGTCTTAGGCACTATGCTACCAGAGCTCCTAGATTACAGCCTAGAAAACCCTATGAGGCAATTCTACTCTGTCACATGGGATCACTATGAGTTGAAATTGACTCAATGGCACACAACAACAACAACAACAGCAGCATATAGCAAGCACTCAATAAATGCCCACTACATGTGAATTGTCAAAAGAGCTCTGGTGGTGTAGTGCCTAAGGCATTTGACTGCTAACCAGAAGGCTGGAGGTTCAAACCCATCAGCCACTCCTCAGAAGGAAGGTTGGGCAATCTACTTCTATAGCGATACTGCCTCGGAAACCCAAGGAGGGGTCATTATGAGTCAGAATCAACTTGAGGTTGTGAGTTTGTTTTTTTTTTTTTTTTTTTTGGTACATGTGGATTGACTCTACAGGAGGGAGCGTGTGCCCTCTTTCATACCCAGACCCTGTCTTGTTCCTCCTTTGTAACCAAGTTGAAGGAAGGAGGTAAAGATTACTAAAGGCACACACAGCGGAAATGCCTGTGAGGGCTGCCTCTGATCCATGGCTTAGTCCCTAACAGTTGCTTTGAGTGCTTCCTCGGACTATTGTCCTTGCAGAGGCTGAGGGGCCATATTGGGGAAGGTCCATGGGCTGGGAGTCAGGAGAGTCTGCTTCTAGTCCCAGGACAGCACCTGCCCTTCATGTGATTATTCAATAAGTAAGGTAAGCAGAGGCTTACTTGTGCTTACTAATCTGGAGTGAACAATGTCACATCTGTCTCTCTCCTAATCCCACAGCACCTTCCAATAGAATGAAAGCCTCTTTTCAAATTTACAATCCCTGACAGGGATGGAGAGTACCTAGTAAGCAAGGTAAGCATAGGCTCACTTGTGCTTACTCACTAATCAGTAGTGAACAATGAATTTCACTACATCATGAGCTTACCTTGCTTATTGGGTAGTCTGTCCCTGATGTGAACATCTTCTCCCTGGGCCTCTGTCTGTCTCTGCTCAGAGGGCTGAATTAGGGACTGGCTGATGTGCCTTCTAGCTGAGACAGTCTCAAGCTGAGGACCTACTATGCACCCTCTGGGCTCACTTCTGGCCTTTCTTCTTCCTCCTCACCTTTGTCTTCCCAAGGGCCCCTCCAAAGTCCCACTGATGACTCTACAGCTGCTAGACTTCTGCCTGAGCATCATGACCCTCTGCAGCTCCTACATGGAAGTGCCCACCTATCTCAACTTCAAGTCTATGAACCATATGGTAAGTCTGGACAGAGTTCTGCTCCCACTCACTGCTATGTGGCCTTGAGCAAGTTGCTTCACCTTTCTGTGCCTCATTGTTTTAGGTCAGGTTCCCTGGGAGCAGAGCCTGGAAGGAGGATTCTTGTTTGAGTGATTTATTGAGGGAGAGCTTCCAGGAAGAAACCTGTAAAGGTGTAAGGGGAGTAGGTTAGAGAAAGGGAGGAAACTAGGCACAGATGTGTCTTCAGCAGTAGTCCTGCTTGATCTCAAAGGGAGCCCAGAAGGGTAAATTGTATCATAGACATACTATTAGTTTTTAGTGCTTTGTCACAAATCATCCCAGAACTTAGTAGTTTAAGATAGCAAACATTTATTACTTCATGTAGTTTCTGAAGATCAGGAATTTGGGAGGGGCCTAGCTGGGTTGTTCTGGTCCAGGGTTTGTCATGAGTCTACACTCAAGTTGTCATCAGAGCTGCAGACATCTGAAGGCTTGAGTAGGTTAAGGATCAGCTCTCAAGGTTTTTGGCTCTTTGCCTCAGTTCCTCACCACGTGGACCTTTAATAGGGTTGCCTGTGTGTCATCATGACATGGCGGCTGACTTCCCCCTGAGTGAAGGATCCAAGGGAGAGAGGCAGCAAGAATGAATCTGCAGTGTCTTTTTTTTTTTTTTTT